ACTGGGGCTTCTTCTCCGGCCGCGGCCGCGTCAAGCCCGGGGGCCGCTGGCGCGAGGCGGCCTGGCAGCTCTGCGACTACTACCTGCCCTACGCGCTGGGCGGCGGCTACGTGCTCTCCGCCGACCTGGTGCGCTACCTGCGCCTCAGCCGCGAGTACCTGCGCGCCTGGCACAGCGAGGACGTGTCGGTGGGCGCCTGGCTGGCGCCCGTGGACGTGCAGCGCGAGCACGACCCGCGCTTCGACACCGAGTACAAGTCCCGCGGCTGCAGCAACCAGTACCTGGTGACCCACAAGCAGAGCCTGGAGGACATGCTGGAGAAGCACCAGACGCTGACGCGCGAGGGCCGCCTGTGCAAGCAGGAGGTGCAGCTGCGCCTCTCCTACGTCTACGACTGGTCCGCGCCGCCCTCGCAGTGCTGCCAGAGGAAGGAGGGCATCCCCTGAGCGCCCTGGCCTTACACCGGGGGAGCCCGCAGGTCTGGCCGCTTGCCTGGATAAGACCGGCGCTCAAGGCGACCTAGTTTATCTGGTGACCAGCGGGGCTTTCGGGTAGATGCCAGGCCGCCGCGGACCACTCCTGGGCCCCAGCTCCAGTCTGCACCCAGGGGCGAGCACGTCAGGGGCCACACCTATAGTATTGCAAGAGCATCTTGTTCTGGGTCTGGCGGACCCAGGGGCTCGCCAGGGCAATGCCTCATGTCCAGGTAGAAGTGTCCCGCCCCTGGGTTTCCACCAGCATTTGCCTGGGCTGGGAAGATGCCCAGCTCTGAGTGGGAGCGGGGAAGAACCTCCCGGGCCTGCAGGGGCTTGCAGCCCCTCTGCGCGCACACAACACACACCGGCTGTCCCACTGTCGTGTCCCAAGTCCAGGGACGAAGGCCCGGAGGCTGGAGCTGACCCCAAACACAAATCTGACTTGTTCTGGGAGGGGACTACATCACGTCCTAAGGCCATTGTCTCAACCGTCCGCCTAGGAAGTCACTCTGCACCGAGAGCTGTGACTTTTGTAAACTGATCGCAGGCCCTAACCAGTTGCAACTCAGCTGTGTTGCAACCCAGTGGCTTTTATGGGAACTGCTGCTGTCTCCTTCAGGCAGGTTACCTCCAGTATGTCTTCTGTGGGTGTCTTTGGGTGTAAGTCTGAGATTGAACTTCGTTTTACGTTAACTAGCTTTGGTCTCCTTGTCTCCCTAGAGTGAACTTATGGTAAATGATACTCAGCGCCTGCCTGTGATTTATTTATAAATACTGTTAAGTTTGTGTAGATAAGAGTTCCAGTTGTGAGTGTGTGGTCTCAGTGTTTTTTAAATTATTTAAGAAGGCTTTTCTATCAGAACTTGGAATCCATGGATTAATCTGTTTTTACAGCGTGAGCTGAAGACCCGTCGCTGCGTGTGTGTTTAAACACGGAAGAATTTTAAAACTGTCCATTTCTCTTTTCAGTTTACACATTAGTCAGTCCTATTGTCTATTCCTAAGAAGACTTTCCTTTTACGGCCTCCTCGTGGCCACACAGGGGCAAGTGGTTCTCACTCTTGCGCCTGTTACTGTGCCCAGTTCCAGGAATCGGACCCTTGGAATGTTGATGCGGTTTCCCAGATTCTGTCTTAAGAAAACAGGCTGGCCGGCATGTCCTCTTGCAGAAGGCAACGACATGCGCCAGGCGATCGCCTCGCACACCCACCATCCTCCGGACACCAGGCTTTCCTCTCCTCATTAGATGTGAACAGTGGGTGGTGTGGCCATTGCAGAAATGAAATAAAGTGGCTGCAGGACACTGCAAGCCTTTCCCAGTCCGCACGTGTGCACGCTGGGCGCTATGTCTGAGTGGCCAGGCTGTGCTGCCATGGTCTCGGGTCCATACTGGGGCCGTATGAGTGGGGGTGCAGATCCCTGACCAGCCTCTTCATTGCCAGTCTCACATTCTCGTGTCTCCATCAACTCAGCTGCTGTGACAGATCCCACAGGCCAGCGGCTGAGACAGTAAACAATTATTTCTTACACTTCTGGAGGCTGGAGATCCAAGATCAGGTGCCAGCAGGGTCAGGTTCTGGTGAGGCCTCTTTCTGGTGTGCAGGTGCCCCCTACCTGTGTCCTTTCCTTTCCCAGTCCCATCAGCAGGAGGTACCCTCATGACCTCATCTCACCCAAATCACCTCCCTGAGGCCCCACCTCCTAACACCATCACACCAGGGGTTAGGGCTTCAACCTGAATTTGCAGGATGTAATCAGTCCATAGCAGCAGGCTTGGGTTATTTTTGTTTAAAGGTAGAAGAATATGTGGAACTCAGGGTCTTGGGCCAGAAAGCGGGGGCCATGTGGTTAGTGACCTTAAAGCAATTCTACCACCTTCAGGAGGTAGAGGCTGAACCTCAAAGGTCCCCAGATCCCACACAGTTCTGATAGCAAGGTGTGAGTCACCTTTATGATTGGCACCCTTGAGCCAGGACCGACAAGCCCTGGGTACACCTTGTTCATAGGACGAGGGTCCGGGTTTGCAGACACCAGGGTGAGCAGACTGTGACCCTGCCCCCCAGTGGGATGCAGATAGCATCAGGACCCGATTCCTGCCAGGTGTGACCTCGGATGCCCCGTCTGGGCCTCGGGATCATCAGAGCGATTGGCGTACACAGACAAGGAGCAGGTTCCTGAAGAAGCCTGAGCACTTGCTGAGGCCCACGTGGCCAGTGGCACAGCCAGGACTCCAGTTGGGGGCTGGATCCCTGATTCCTGCCTAGCACCATCTGGTCCTGCCATAGCTCCCAGGCTTCTCCAGAGAGTGGACCCCACGGAGAGCATGGCAGCAGCGCCCAAGACCCGGGCGCATGTCCTCGGGGGACCTGGGCTTTAGCGTTCAGCCAAACCACATGTGCAAACAGATTTGACCTACGAAAATGGAAATCTCAGGTCAAGGAAGGGTGCGGTGAGAGCGGGTATTTGAATATCGGCCTGGGTGACACTGTCCTTTGGTTTTGCAAACCACCGTTGGGGACTGGCCACAGGTCCCTGTATTTCTCCTGCATGCGGTCCCAGGGCCCCTCCTGCCAGCAGGGTCCACCAGGCAGGGCTCAGTTGGCCGTGGCACTGGGTGAGCTTGAGGCTGGGAAAAGACTAGGGGCCGCACCGTGTGGCCTTAGGAGCCTGGCCAGTGGTTGGCTTCGTCCTCTAGAGTAAACACCACAGGCAGCAACTGACCCTCCACAGCCCAGCTGCAGGACAGGAGCCCAGGGAGGGCCGAGTCCAGCTCCCACCTCCCACTGACCCCAGGCCTGACCCATCCAGCGACCCGAGAAGGAAGCCCAAGCCCTGGCCCCTCCTCCAGTGGCGTCTGAGGGTCTCGGTGGCCCAGCCCCAGCCCCAGCAGCCCTCACAGCCCCTGTCACAGCTGCCCACCTGATCCTGACCGGGCGCGAGGGGCAGATGGCCAGAGCCAGGAGCAAGCCCCAGATGTGTGCCCCAGAGGAGGGGCTGCAGGTGTGAAGTGCACCCTGGGGCCTGGCCTTGGTGCTCCGGGCTGCTAGGGGCCTCTGGCCGTCCGCAGGGGGATGGGAGGCGAGGAAACTGCTGCTGGAGACACGGCTTCAGAAATGTTTTCTTGGCCCTGATGCCCCTTCTTGTTCCCTGCTGCTCTCGCCGCCACCCCCTCACACACCCAGGTTCTGACTGAGCAGCCTGGAGGGGCCGGAGGCGCAGGTGGGGGTCCCTGCTGCCCTTGCTGCTGCCCGGGGCAGGGGGCAGACACGCCGGCTGCTGTAAAACTGATGCTATCACAGCAAAGGAACCTGTGAGTCACTGCCTAGGAGCGGGGGCTGCACCCCAAACTCTCCCAAACAAAAGCCCTTTGTCCCCGAGCCACCCCCTTCCTTGCCAGGCCTCCTGTGCACACTGTCAGACACACTGGCGGACAGACGTGCCGACGGCCGCAGCAGGCACAGGTGTGGGCAGGACAAGCTCCTCCACTGCCTCTACCCAGCTCCAGGGGCCGGGCTGCAGGAGACCTAGGGCTGCGGGACACCTCAGCCCCTGGGCCCACTCAGGCTGCAGGGGCTGGAGATCCAGCATCTCATTGACCCTAGTCAGCACCCTGAGGTCATACAGAGCTCGGAGCCCAGAGGGCACACTGGCCAAGCCTAGCCCGTGAGTGAAAGCCCTAAGACGCAGCACCCCCTATTCCCCGGCCACAGCCCAGTCCCCCTGGTCAGCACTCTGTGTGCAGGACCGAGGCCTTGGACACCATAAGTGTTCCCCGCTGCCCCTAGGAAGTTCCTACATCCAGACAGGGTTCTGGAAGCCCCTCCTTGGGAGAGGACCCCTTCCCTGGCCCCACCACCCGGGCTCCCCGCTTGGGGTCCAGCAGTTCTGTGTGCTGCCACCCTGATCACCCAGCATGATGGGCTCCTCGGCTGGACCAATGCCAGTGGGTCTCCCTGATGCCAAGGACCCCAACCACGGCCATCCCTGAGCTCAGTGACTGGCCAGCCAGGGGCTCCAGCCACTGGGTCACAGACACCTGCCCCGTGTTTGCTTCCAAGGGGTTTGGCAATTCCAGCTCAGCCAAGAGAGCCAGGTCTCAGGGTGGGGATACGGGGGACATGGAGACCCCACAGGTCACACAGACGCATCACGCACACGAGGAGCACCCTGCAGCTTGCTCTGAGCCGAGGCAGATCACAGCCACCAAGGACGTGTGGGGTCAGCAAGGGGTCAACACAGGGAGCCCGGGTACACAGACCAGAGAGGGGAGCACGGACACATGTGCCCAGGCCCCCCATGTCTCCCCCATGCCCCCTACATCCCCCACATGCCCCACACCCCTTATGCCCCCAGGCCACTCTCAGTCCTTGGCCCAGGTCACGGGAGTTCAGCATGTCTGGTCTGGGTGAGAACCTTCCAGGCCAGCAGGGAGGGGCCAGCCTAGGGGCAGACAGCCCAAGCAGACCCCCTCCGGGCCCCAGACGCACCATGAGCAGGGCAAAGTCAGGCCCTGGCTGAACCTTAAGTTACAGGTACCCTAGGGCCCCAGACAGGTGGCCAGCCTCTCCCGCAAGCCTCACCCCTACCTGTGCNAGACACGGGGGACATGGAGACCCCACCCCCCACAGGTCACACAGACGCATCACGCACACGAGGAGCACCTTGCAGCTTGCTCTGAGCCGAGGCAGATCACAGCCACCAAGGACGTGTGGGGTCAGCAAGGGGTCAACACAGGGAGCCCGGGTACACAGACCAGAGAGGGGAGCACGGACACATGTGCCCAGGCCCCCCATGTCTCCCCCATGCCCCCTACATCCCCCACATGCCCCACACCCCTTATGCCCCCAGGCCACTCTCAGTCCTTGGCCCAGGTCACGGGAGTTCAGCATGTCTGGTCTGGGTGAGAACCTTCCAGGCCAGCAGGGAGGGGCCAGCCTAGGGGCAGACAGCCCAAGCAGACCCCCTCCGGGCCCCAGACGCACCATGAGCAGGGCAAAGTCAGGCCCTGGCTGAACCTTAAGTTACAGGTACCCTAGGGCCCCAGACAGGTGGCCAGCCTCTCCCGCAAGCCTCACCCCTACCTGTGCCATTCCACAGCCCCAGAGAGGACCATGGAAGGTGGGGCCTGGCAGCCTCTTGCTCACAGCTGGGAGTCCCCCACCCCGCCCATCCCA